TTTGAATGCTTATAAAAAATGCTTATTTCAAATGCCTATGAATAGTTCAACTTAAGTCGACAATTTTTGAAAATTGCATGGTGGACAGAATATACTTATATAAACATTCGGTGAAAATTTCATGTATCTGGTCATTTGTTTAATGTTACATCAAAAACCAAAATCTGTGCGTAAAATTTCCCGTTTTTCCCTTAATTTTTAGTTTGTTTTTCTCGATTGTTTAGAAAAATATTAAGAATTTTTCACTTTTGACTCCCCCAAAGTACCAACTAGATTCACTTTCTGATCGAACGAGGTACTGAAGTCAAAAATCGAAGCACTTTTACTGCCCCAAAACGTGATGACAGACACAAAAAAAAACACACACACACATCATGATAAAATCAATACATTCATCGCTCCGCTCAGAATCTAAAACATAATATCATTACAGCGATAAGACGCAAGCTTCGTTTAGTATAAAATGTGGTGTAGCTGATATAAGCCAAGTATTCATTGTTCTAATGATTACAATTCAACCAGTTTTAATCAATAAATTAGATAGGTARTCTATACACGTCTTATATCACGAGTCCATTCGATTAATATTATTTATTTATTTACACCAATCTCTGCATAAGTATAATGTTTTCATAATTAGTTCATACTCATTTTTTGTAATTTTATTATTACATTATATCTAATATCCTTCGTTCGCATTCGATAATAATTTGAGTTGTGTGATGTGTGTGTGCGTGCGCCAACTAARCTATTGATCTATTATGAGCATCTCTACGAATCTGGTAATTTACTTGCTGAAAAAAAAACGAAAATTAGACGAATGGAGTATTTCAGTGAGTATTTTCTTGGATTTATCATTTGAAATCGTATAAAGCAAGTTTATAAATGAATATTTTTATGAATAAAAAAAATAAATACATTTTCTGAATGTTTTTTTTTTGTTTTTGTTTACTTTTTTCCTTCTTATCTTTTCATGGGATTACAAATACATATTCTTGAAGGTTACAATCGACCAAAAAAATCATTCAAGATGTTCCCACTAACGTAAGACCAAACCATGATGAAAAAAATTAATTAAAGTAAAAAAAATKTACTTTCTGGTATACCTTAAAATAGATGAATATAATATAATACTTTGTTTGATTCGCAATAATAATATTTTATCATAATATTATAACACTACCTACTGACTATTTTCAGTGTATTGCCCCTTGTTTGATAAACTACATAAGGTAACAATTCGTATTTATTGATGTACTTATAGAATTATATTAATTTATTTAAAATAATTARTTCAGCATAATTACTGTTATCTGCAGTATTATTTAATAAAATGTACAATTTTCTAATGTTATAGTAACTTAATAAATATATCTGCCTAATTGCCATTATAATATCATTATAATATCTATGTGGTCGTTTCACTGAATTAAATAAGGCACGAACATTTTAACAATGTTTACTATATCAAATTACATAAATGTATTTGTCTTGCAATGTTATTATTTTTTTTTTTTAAGAAATTTTGGGTAGAGAAATGCTCAAAAAGTTTCATGTAGCATGTTTATAGGTAGTAAATTATTGATGTATTACTTTTAAAAGGATAGTTTTCAAGTTTTTTTTTTCAAAAATAAGTCTTAACGAAGCGAAAAACTACCAATCAACGTCAAATAATTTTAAGAAATGTCAGTAAACAAGATTTACACCAAAGATTGATCTGAATTTTTTTWTAAATTCTTTAATTTATTATTGTTTTTAAATGTGACACCCAAACATACCAGAATTTTGCACTGAGATGAGTTAAATATTAGGAAACTGTGTCATATCTGTCATTCTTATTGATTTTCTTAATGTTTTGYTCATAATGCATCGTATATTTGTTTGATTTTTAGTTTCTCTTTTCGAGTCATTAAGTGCATGGTAAAAATATAAAAGCTTAATATGGAAATCGTAGTTTTATGGAATCATATTTGAAATATTATCAATTTTAATCGTATGAATTTATTGCCTTATTTTTTTTCAAATATAATTTTCAAAAATGTTCTGAGATGA